CTAGTCTGAGAGCTGCTTCTTATTTCCTCCGTTAGACTCTCTCCACTGATGGGATTCTTGATGTCTAGTCTGTGGGCTGCTTCTTATTTCCTCCGTTAGACTCTTTCCACTGATGTGATTCTTGATGTCTAGTCTGAGAGCTGCTTCTTATTTCCTCCGTTAGACTCTCTCCACTGATGGGATTCTTGATGTCTAGTCTGTGGGCTGCTTCTTATTTCCTCCGTTAGACTCTCTCCACTGATGGGATTCTTGATGTCTAGTCTGAGGACTGCTTCTTATTTCCTCCGTTAGACTCTCTCCACTGATGGGATTCTTGATGTCTAGTCGCTAGCCACGAGTTACGTTCTACTTTATATTAGCGCCAGTAACCCTGGTCAGTCCGTTAGCTCCTCAATCTAAATCCTGCATAGTTAAGCTTGTATGCGGATAACCTTGACGACCCCGACCAGATGTTGTAGTCCAACACTTATTGTATCAAATGGTGTAAAAACCTCTGTGGTCATGCCGTATCAATACAGCACTTGACGCCCTGCGCCAGTAGGCTACACTACTCGTTTTGTCAAATGGTGCAATACAATGTTTTGATAACCTCCCTTGGCAATAAATGTAGCGCTGGTCGTCTTAAAGTTGTGTCAGAGACCATGTTGAAATGTTATCCTTTGTTGATTATAAGCAACTTAAGTCTCAGGGTATAACAAGAGTTTTAAAAAGCTTTCATAAGTTTTCAATAGATTGTGATGGAATAAATGAAATAAGGCAGGTCTTGGTAGCCATTTGTTCAACCGTTGACAGCATATAGAGAAACATTGCGACCCTGACGAAGCAGCTGGTGTAGACTGTAGCAATAGAGCCGCTCCCTGGTGATAAGGGCGCTAGATCTAGGTGCGGTATTGACAGAGAGGGTAGTGTAGGGGTGGGGCTGTTGATCAGGTGTTGGCCCACACAAAGCATGCTGCGCTGACATCATTAGCGAACACACGAAAACCAACCTGTAACATTTTATCTAATGCTGCCTCTCCACGTCGATGGTACTTATTCACTCCAAGCTAATTATTATTTAATCTTCATCACGTGACTGGTTAGCCAACTTGTAATTGCTCTGTCACTAGATTCATGTTCCACGCTGGTGGTGTATGGCTGGCAGCAACCTGATTACTGAGGGATAGCTGTCGTCTGTATATGACGTCACGCTCAAAAGCGATGGGGGGGGGGTTAAGATCAACGTCACACTTTTGCATTTTTTTATAAAACTAAAGCTAGAAACTGAATTTTATCGGTTATTTTGCGTTTTAGAAAACTGTTTTAAATTGACTGAGCTGTCAATATTTTCGAGAAAAAAATGGAGGTTTTAAAAAAATAATCTGTGATGTCAAGGTTGAGGGTCAGACTTTTTGTTGAAGGTGAGGGAGGGTAATTTTGTCATAAAAGCAAGCCTTTCCTCTTCCCCCCCCCCCCCCCATCCAAGGCTGCCAGCACCCTGTGTATTGGTGAAGTATGGCTGACATGTCAAGTTTGAGGACAGATAGGCTAGGCTGTATCTTGTAACCCCCTAACCCTTTTCCACGTGATAAGCTATCGTGTTAGCTGTCGATTGAGTAAAAACATGCTAGTGCATGCCAACAATCGTTTTTATTGTTTGTTTATTAAAACGGCGCGCACTATTTTTCACGTCCAGAGAACTTCAAGACTAGTTCTGGTTCTCTTATGTATAAGCAAATCTGCTGAAAACTCTTACAACAATAACAATTTTTTGGGGGTATTTATAACGACTGCTTGGGTGCAATATGCTATAGTGTCTCGAGATAAGAATCGAAGATTTGGGGGGGGGGGGGGTGTACGGGGACCAAAAACAAAAAGAGTTTGCAGACTAAAAAATGTCCGACTATATTTATTTTGTGATAATTCCAATTGCTCATAGTCCATTTAGAATTAGAACAATCAGGAAATACAAGTAGCGTTTATGAAAAAATAACCCGGATAAAATAGTTATAGCAGCGTTTCTTAAAACTGGGTTCGATCGAACCCCAGGGGTTCGGTGAGCCAGTCTCATGTGTTCGGGAGCGTCAAAACACACCAAACTTAAAAATCATTTTATGTTTCCTATTTAGAAAAGTTGTCGGTGAACGCACATATGAGGCTGTTGGGGATCGATACACCCTAAAAGTTTAAGAACGACTGGGTTAGACTCGACAAAAGATGACGTAATGAAAACGTCATGGGGATATTTTTTTAAAGTAATTTGTAAACGATTTAGTTTTCTTCAATATCAGTACTGTGACATTTTGTTAAGACATCTTTGTAAAACGTAGATTTCTCTGCTTTATGTATGTCAAACGTAGCACATTTTATAATGCATCTGTGTGTCGAAACATAGGGGCGGTGAGTGATCAAGAGCTCTGTTCTATTATACGTTCTTCTCCTTGTTTAGTTTAAAAATTTTAGGTCGTTTTTGTTATGAGGGATGGGGATCTGTGGACGTGTTATTTTAAGTTGTATTGATTACACAATGGTCAATTTAGTGACTGTTGTATAGGCCCAGTGTGTGCACGTCACTACCAGAAGACAAAATATTGAGTTCTGGATCTGGTCTACCAGTAGGCATAAGTCGTAGTGGTTTCTCGGCGTGCATCGTGGTACATTTATTGTACCGACTTTACTGAAATGGATCGATTGAATAGTGTGCCTGACACAAATCTATGCGGATTAAAGAAAAATATACACCAGTCTTTCAACTAGAGTGACGTGTACAGTCAAAACTTTTTTTTTATCGTAACGCATGACCAAGATTTGTGCTATACGGTCCAGTGAATCAGCCAGGAGGTACACTTGCTGGGGATTTATGTATCGGCTTGCAGGTCTACTCAGTGATCTAGTGCATTACACGTCTAGGTATTCACATGTAGCCACACGTGTCTCTACACACCTTTAAACAAAGCATCATTTAGGGCCTACACACCTTTACATAAATCATCACTTAGGGCCTACACATCTTTATACACGATGAGACATAGAGAAATCAATGTAAATGTGTAAATCCCATAAAGACGTGTGATGTGTCTACAGCCATCCTACACACATACCCCGACACATAACACTTGTCGCATAACCCAGAGCACGTGTTAGGTATTGTACGTATTCCCTCTGATGGCTCGTGTAGCAGACCAAGTGGAGTGTACGGATTACCTGTTGGTGGACACGGTACGGGGGGGGGGGGGGGGGGGCAAGCACACAGCTCCCAACCTCCTCCTTTCGCCCTCCCCACACTGTGCTTACATTATCTGTCAGCTGAGCTGTTTAAAATAAGATCAAATATTTTGTTCTCTTTACTCTCCTATCTTCTTATCATACACTCCATCAACTCACGAATGCGCCTCGCTAATTCACCACCATCTCACACATTCACCCTCTTTACCTCACCAGTACACCACCGTATCACCATCTTTACCTCACCAGTACACCACCGTATCACCATCTTTACCTCACCATTACACCATCTCACCATCTTTACCTCACCAGTACACCACCGTCTCACCATCTTTACCTCACCAGTACACCACCGTATCACCATCTTTACCTCACCATTATACCACCATCTCACCCTCTTTACCTCACCATTATACCACCATCTCACCCTCTTTACCTCACCATTATACCACCATCTCACCAGTACCCACACACCATTCTGGTTTAACTAAACGTTCATGTTCAGTTTTAAACACTCAGGCTGGGTAGTAAATACAAAGCAAATTATGGGTAGGGCCTAGGTATTTGTATCATAATTCTTTCCATTTTAATAATTGTATGGTCGTACTTTATTGTTTTGATGTCCTTAAGTCGCGAGGTTTTATTTTAGGTGTACATATTGATACCTACATATTGTATTGTACTATTGAGACGTTTTGACCGTTATAAACTTGACCAGACAAAATAGAACCCTCTTGAACCAGGGCTAGACGGTAATGGTAGAAGCGACCCGCTCGTGGGCGTCTGCTGGTAACAGACATTACTCTTCTGGTCACTTGGATTCTCTGGCCTTCGTTGTGACCCAAATATTTTGGTCTCTGCCTGTTCTATTTTTAAACATCTTTGTTGCGTTGGGTTGGCGAAAATATACCTTTACTGTGCTGGTGTGTGTCTTTACATGTCAATATCCAAAGAGTTATGTGTCTTTATTCTAGTACATACACAAAGGTTAAGTAAGTTACACGATTTTTTTGCTTTAAGTAGGCCTACGTCTTTGCTGTGGCATTGGTACCTAGTAATAATGCATACCTTTCAGTATGAGAGAGATAATGTTGAAATCATGTAGGTACCTAGTAATAATGCATACCTTTCAGTATGAGAGAGATAATGTTGAAATCATGTAGGTACCTAGTAATAATGCATACCTTTCAGTATGAGAGAGATAATGTTGAAATCACGTAGGTACCTAGTAATAATGCATACCTTTCAGTATGAGAGAGATAATGTTGAAATCATGTAGGTACCTAGTAATAATGCATACCTTTCAGTATGAGAGAGATAATGTTGAAATCATGTAGGTACCTAGTAATAATGCATACCTTTCAGTATGAGAGAGATAACGATAATGTTGAAATCGTGTATAGACTAACTTAAACTAGTATCTGAGATGTGTGTGGCGCTGAGCTCTAGAGGCTTGTACACATGGATTGTGATGATGATGCAGAAAACACTGGCCAGTGGGGTTACATTAGCCTTGTTTGGCCTGGTGACGACACAGTGAAACTGCTAACGGAAGTGGTCGACTGTTTTGTTATGTTGTGTTATTGGCTGCTTGACCGAGTTTTACCGTCCGTGGCATAGTTTTATCTGGTTGGGTAGAGGTTGGAGGAGAGGGGGAAAGGGAGGGGGAGATCGATGGATGGATGGATGCTTCGTCTGTCGGCTGGCTAGCAGACGAACGAACGACCTTCTCCCTTTAAGTTCCCTCGGCCTTTGTCAGAAAGCGGTGCTATTTTTAGTCCGGTGAACTCCTTTGGCCCTAGTAGTCGACTTGTATTAGCGGCCTCTACCTCCCTAACCCCGACCTTTTGTGCTGCCTAAACCATTTCTTATGAGGGAGGTGTTGCTTATTGTATGTGTGCCTGTGCTTAGCCACACCTGAATAGTCTGCTTATAGGACACGACAGCCGTGTTTAGGGACCATTCGAGTTGATTGAAGATGTGACCTGCTGTGTGTGGAGGACCCTATTCTTCTAGGCATGTCGGGCCTTTCTTTATGCAGTTAGAATATGCAATGGATTGATTTGTGTGCTTTTTTCTCTGCTCGTATGTTGAGGATGAAGGAATGCATAGGATGCATCAATGTGGAGGCCGTATGGTGCAGCCAACTGTAGCCGAGCTGTGTGACATAGAGCCCGTTACTGCATGACCTAGAGCCGTTCATTCCTCCATACTGCACTCGCGTATCGGCACGAACCAGGGACAGAAATTCTGTGTTAGCTGTAAGGTACACGTGTCCAAATAGTTCGATTCTCTACACAACACCAGACATTTCAAACTTTAATCAACTAGGGATCTAGGCCTAGATGAACAGCATAGGTTTGTACGTTTAACTTTTACTAGACCCTAGGTCTAGGTAGCTTACGATACTTAGGCTACCATCTATACTACTGCGTGGACATACTCGTTTGATAGAGTCATTACTTCAATACCTTCCTCTATTACTCTGACTGCACCTGTATATCTAGTCCTTCTTACACCTCCTATGCCACAAACTAGATCTACCCACACATGCACATACCATGCTATTCTACATTGTTTATAACATATAGTATTGACTCCTATTATTAATAAAGTGCAGGACTCAGCACTTTAATATTAATTAAAATAATTAAAATACAATGTGAAGTAAGATATCAACTTTAATAGAATGTGTTAATCAACTTTTATGGAATGTGTGTGATATCAACTTTTATGGAATATGAAGTGAGATTTCAGGTTTAAGTAACCAAAATGTGGAGCCTGCTACAACTAGCAAAATAAGTCAGTTGAAAAATAACCTGTACCTTACACTCTACACACCTACTGCACACCTGTGTTCACTTATCAGGGGATTTCAGCTCTGCTTTCTTTACTTCTCCAACTCTCATGTCTGTCTGTCTACTCTCCAACTCTCATGTCTGTCTGTCTACTCTCCAACTCTCATGTCTGTCTGTCTGCTCTCCAACTCTCATGTCTGTCTGCTCTCCAACTCTCATGTCTGTCTGTCTGCTCTCCAACTCTCATGTCTGTCTGCTCTCCAACTCTCATGTCTGTCTGTCTGCTCTCCAACTCTCATGTCTGTCTGTCTGCTCTCCAACTCTCATGTCTGTCTGTCTGCTCTCCAACTCTCATGTCTGTCTGTCTGCTCTCCAACTCTCATGCCTGTCTGTCTGCTCTCCAACTCTCATGTCTGTCTGTCTGCTCTCCAACTCTCATGTCTGTCTGTCTGCTCTCCAACTCTCATGTCTGTCTGTCTGCTCTCCAACTCTCATGTCTGTCTGTCTGCTCTCCAACTCTCATGTCTGTCTGTCTGCTCTCCAACTCTCATGTCTGTCTGTCTTCTCTCCAACTCTCATGTCTGTCTGTCTGCTCTCCAACTCTCATGCCTGTCTGTCTGCTCTCCAACTCTCATGTCTGTCTGTCTGCTCTCCAACTCTCATGTCTGTCTGCTCTCCAACTCTCATGTCTGTCTGTCTGCTCTCCAACTCTCATGTCTGTCTGTCTGCTCTCCAACTCTCATGTCTGTCTGTCTTCTCTCCAACTCTCATGTCTGTCTGTCTGCTCTCCAACTCTCATGCCTGTCTGTCTGCTCTCCAACTCTCATGTCTGTCTGTCTGCTCTCCAACTCTCATGTCTGTCTGCTCTCCAACTCTCATGTCTGTCTGTCTGCTCTCCAACTCTCATGTCTGTCTGTCTGCTCTCCAACTCTCATGTCTGTCTGTCTGCTCTCCAACTCTCATGTCTGTCTGTCTTCTCTCCAACTCTCATGTCTGTCTGTCTGCTCTCCAACTCTCATGTCTGTCTGTCTACTCTCCAACTCTCATGTCTCTCTGTCTTCTCTCCAACTCTCATGTCTGTCTGTCTTCTCTCCAACTCTCATGTCTGTCTGCTCTCCAACTCTCATGTCTGTCTGTCTTCTCTCCAACTCTCATGTCTGTCTGCTCTCCAACTCTCATGTCGGTCTGTCTGCTCTCCAACTCTCATGTCTGTCTGTCTGCTCTCCAACTCTCATGTCTGTCTGTCTTCTCTCCAACTCTCATGTCTGTCTGTCTGCTCTCCAACTCTCATGTCTGTCTGTCTTCTCTCCAACTCTCATGTCTGTCTGTCTGCTCTCCAACTCTCATGTCTGTCTGCTCTCCAACTCTCATGTCTGTCTGCTCTCCAACTCTCATGTCTGTCTGTCTGCTCTCCCTTGATGTCAATGACTGTTGTTTGTGTGTTAAAATATTTATTTTATAATGTGTAAGGTATTATGCATATTTTTTGTGTTAATTTACATGATCTTTTGAATTTTGGCACGCCTTAATTTACATGATCTTTTGAATTTTGGCACGCCTATGCCCACCTTTAAAATTGAATGGGTATAAACAAATATCTAACAGGTATGTGTATAGATTTTTTGCTGTAATTCAATAGTGCTCTTAATTCTACGTTTTAAAATTATGTTAATAGTTTCTGAACCATCCAGTATTAATTATTTCATAAAAAATAGCTTTCTGATTCTTATGCTGAAATTAATTATTTATGTTACTTGTTTGTATTTCTGTAAATCATGCCATCAGAGTTATGTTATATAAGCATATAAAATCCTTGGTCATGAGAATTTGTCTTGTCCCCATAATTGGACTGGAACCATTAAAAAAAGCCAAACCCCCTCCCCCACCTGTTATTGCAGATATTGATCTCCATGTACTTGATGGTGAGAGCTACTCTAGACCAGACCTGTCTCAACACAGCTCAGCCTAATAGAATTCATATCTGTAATGCCTTCATTATAACTTCAGGTTTTGTTCAGTGTTTCAAATGTGCTTTCCTACCACCCTGTTTCAATTTGAACACCAAGTTTTACGGTGTAGGTCTACAATCTACCTGTTTCATAGTTTATTGTGTAGGTCTACAATCTACATGTTTCATAGTTTATTGTGTAGGTCTACAATCTACATGTTTCATAGTTTATTGTGTAGGTCTACAATCTACATGTTTCATAGTTTATTGTGTAGGTCTACAATCTACATGTTTCATAGTTTATTGTGTAGGTCTACAATCTACATGTTTCATAGTTTATTGTGTAGGTCTACAATCTACCTGTTTCATAGTTTATTGTGTAGGTCTACAATCTACCTGTTTCATAGTTTATTGTGTAGGTCTACAATCTACATGTTTCATAGTTAATGGTGTTATTGCTTGCTTCAGTAATGGTGTGTCGTATACGTTGGTTTATTCAGTAATGGTGTGTTGTGTATGTTGGTTCATTCAGTAATGGTGTGTTGTGTACGTTGGTTCATTCAGTAATGGTGTGTTGTGTATGTTGGTTCATTCAGTAATGGTGTGTTGTGTACGTTTGTTCATTCAGTAATAGTGTGTTGTGTACGTTTGTTCATTCAGTAATGATGTGTCGTGTACGTTGGTTGATTCTGTAATGGTGTGTTGATTTCTAAGGCGGCTTCAATGAAGGTATGTCGCATGAATTATTTGTAACTCCACTGCAAAGGTATGTGTACTGCTATAGTAGAGACGGTTTTATTTTATTGATTGTCTGTAAAACAGGTCAAGTTTATTTAGTGTTTGGATTAAGCACGCGGTTTATGGGCAGGGCAAATCTCTGTCTAGCACAAAAATTGTACGGCACGATCAGTTAGATTTTGGTACACGCTTTTCACACTTGTTTTGATCTATTTTTTGTATTGGGATGTCATGAAGGTTTGATAGATTCATTGGAGCATAATTTTCCAAGTCTTGTGGCTGTTTGATGCGCTGTTGTAACCTCTGATTTTATCTGCTGTTTGATGCGCTGTTGTAACCTCTGATTTTATCTGCGGAATGTGTGGTCATAAAATGTCGACAGCCACTGGTTGAGTGAAATATTTCTTACACCAATAGATGCACTGGATTCTATATTATAGAAAGCGAAAGGACACCAGGTTTTTATGCTTCCATTTCCTGAACCGTGTTGTACTTATTTAGAAACCCGATAGCGCCAATACGCTTCTTGACCCAGTGACCTAGACGAGATGATCCTCTGTGGACAGAAATGTTGAGCCCGTCTCATGTCAAACATCGGGTGTGCGAGCCAGTGGTTGTGGAGGCTATGTGCAGTCTTACAGTGTGGGTTTAGTGTACTGGTGCCACCAGAGTGGAGTGAATGTTTTTTTTCTCTTCTATCTGGATATAGGTCAGGTTCCACGACTGAAAGATGCTGTCTTGTAGACGAGCAGCTGTCACGCACTCTCTCGCCAGCCGTGGGAGCCTGAGCACGTAGATACACTTTAACTTTACTCCCATCACCCACCCCATCTCCCCACCACAGATCATATCACCCATGTCCACATTGATCATTCTGACTAGCTGTATTAGCCTCATGCTTTCCTTTCCCTCGAGGGTTAATCAGCAAGTAAAACATAACCATTCGCTGGTGGAAACTCAGGGAATTTAAAGACTGTGCCTAAAAATTAATGGCTCTTGTAAGCCCAGTTTTTAAACGCTGTGAATCTAATCAGATTCGGGAGTCAAGGTATGGTCCGTGGCTCATTGAGTGCCTAGCTAGTGTATAGGCCGTGGCTCACTGAGTGCCTAGCTAGTGTATAGGCCGTGGCTCACTGAGTGCCTAGCTAGTGTATAGGCCGTGGCTCACTGAGTGCCTAGCTAGTGTATAGGCCGTGGCTCACTGAGTGCCTAGCTAGTGTATAGGCCGTGGCTCACTGAGTGCCTAGCTAGTGTATAGGCCGTGGCTCACTCAGTGCCTAGCTAGTGTATAGGCCGTGGCTCACTGAGTGCCTAGCTAGTGTATAGGCCGTGGCTCACTCAGTGCCTAGCTAGTGTATAGGCCGTGGCTCACTCAGTGCCTAGCTAGTGTATAGGCCGTGGCTCACTGAGTGCCTAGCTAGTGTATAGGCCGTGGCTCACTCAGTGCCTAGCTAGTGTATAGGCCGTGGCTCACTCAGTGCCTAGCTAGTGTATAGGCCGTGGCTCACTGAGTGCCTAGCTAGTGTATAGGCCATGGCTCACTGAGTGCCTAGCTAGTGTATAGGCCATGGCTCACTGAGTGCCTAGCTAGTGTATAGGCCGTGGCTCACTGATTGCCTAGCTAGTGTATAGGCCGTGGCTCACTCAGTGCCTAGCTAGTGTATAGGCCGTGGCTCACTCAGTGCCTAGCTAGTGTATAGGCCGTGGCTCACTGAGTGCCTAGCTAGTGTATAGGCCGTGGCTCACTCAGTGCCTAGCTAGTGTATAGGCCGTGGCTCACTCAGTGCCTAGCTAGTGTATAGGCCGTGGCTCACTCAGTGCCTAGCTAGTGTATAGGCCGTGGCTCACTCAGTGCCTAGCTAGTGTATAGGCCGTGGCTCACTGAGTGCCTAGCTAGTGTATAGGCCGTGGCTCACTCAGTGCCTAGCTAGTGTATAGGCCGTGGCTCACTCAGTGCCTAGCTAGTGTATAGGCCGTGGCTCACTGAGTGCCTAGCTAGTGTATAGGCCGTGGCTCACTGAGTGCCTAGCTAGTGTAGGGTATGGTCCGTGGTTCTCAATACTTTGCGTGCTAACGTGTATTAAAGAGCATGGGCCATCCCCTGTAACGATGTATTCATTACCCTAGTGATTGTAAGCTGATACCGACCCGGGATATGCTAACCCCACTGACAGCCGCTCGAGTCACCATCATTGCAGTGCTAAATCAAGATCGTGTTCCTGGGAAACGCAAACTAGACCCCAGTTGGAACAAAGACGAATGCTTTCTCCTCTCGTATATATGTGTTTGTGTGTGCATACATACACACACACCCGCATACATACATACATACATACATGCATGCATGCATGCATACATACATACATACATACATACATACATACATACATACATACATACATACATACATACATACATACATACATACATACATACATAAATATATACATACATACATACATACATACATACATACATACATACATACATACATACATACATACATACATACATACATACATACAATGGAATGCACACGATGGTCAGACACCGAAATTAAGAAGTAGGATCTTTAAAAACCGTTTGATATTGTATTATTTAAACAATGTCGGTATTTTATCATTGACAGCGTTTAAAAAAAAGCCACATTCCACTAGGAGGCGGGTGTCCAATGTAGGTCAGGGCTTAAATGCACTAGTATCGATGAGTTGAGTGAGCGTCAACTGGGTCCCTGGCCCAGACGTGTTCACACGAACTAGGTCTATCTCTTATTGAAACAAAGCTCCATCTGGGACCACAGGCTGGCTCTAGAAACCACATGTCCCACCTCGGCCATAATCCATACACGTTATTTTTTTATATTAGGGAAATAAGAAGGAAGTGACGCGCATGTTCATTCTCTAGAAATTTGACGGCTCCTTCAACCCACGCTATTCATTTATTCCATGCTATTCGGGCTCGATCATTGCAGATCACTTCATATCATACCACATTGATTTCATTGATCATGGCAATCAATCAATGCTATGTCTCTATCCTAAAGGTTCTGGATGTGACCTCTCTGGCTAAAACGTCAGTCCGTCAGTTGAAGAAGGGCACAAAGAAAACGGTAGATCCACTTTTTAATCTTTGACAGTCGTTGATGGTAATTGGTATGACGTAAGTGGGCAACGAGAAGTGCTCCATGACGTCAGCAGAATCTGTGCTTACGTGATAGTTTGAAACAAGTTTTACCTGGGAGCCCACGTACATCCTCGCATACGGGACAGATGTCGCACACATTCGGTTAGCTTGCTAGTATTGACCAAGTTACATCTATCTCCAGACAAATAAAGCTGATGGTTGGCGGGCTGTGATTGATTCTCTGCCACTAGAGCTCATGGACCGTGTGTAGATAAATTCAACTGTTGGATGGCGAGTCAGGACAGAATGGCTGCGCGCAGATTCTAGTTGTGTAGTGGCTCGCGCTACCGCTCTTGGACGCAATGTTGATTCGCCAGAGGGCGGGGTGGCGGTTACATCACCAGGCCTACCTTTGGCCCAGACGACCTTCTGTTCTCCCCACCTCCCCTACCCTGCCGTTACCTCGCCGTCGTAGGTCCGTTGTCTCATCAGTTTGTCGAGCCAAGCATACGTCACACGCATCCCCTTCATCGACACCAAGAAAAGCCAAAAGGATTGGAGCGACGATCTATTCGCTGCTGGTCAACCAATCACCCGACTTTGAAGGCGTTAGCCCAGAGTTCGATTCCCCCTCCGTGTCGTCGTCTCCGTCGTCGTCGTCACCTGGCAGGAACAGTGCGGCTGGTTCCTGCTCGTCTCCCTCCTCATCACGCCGCAGTCGTAGTGGGAGTGATAGTCTGGACCCTGTCCTTGAGGACAGTCCTCTCAGCACATTTCTTCCAGACTCTGGGAGTGGGAGTGATAGTCTGGACCCTGTCCTTCAGGACAGTCCTCTCAGCACATTTCTTCCAGACTCCGGGATTGAGGACAGTCCTCTCAGCACTTTTATAGAAGACGCTGTACTAGAGGACAGTCCTCTGAACCCACGCGAGGCAGGTAGTCCTGAGCCCCAGCTTTCTGCTGTCTGCTGTGCTGGGAGTGAGACAAGGTAAACTCCGTACTTGTTGTTTTGGTGTTGTGGGCTGCCTTATGGCCTCTTGTGGGTTCCGTTTTAATGCTGGTCATTTTTGTGCAATACCATCTAATATAGCACTTTCTCGCCATCCTCGCTCATAGATCTTACAGTTAGCCTATGTTAGGCTTTATAGTATCTATATCCACTCTCGTAGATCTTACAGTTAGCCTATGTTAGGCGTTATAGTATCTATATCCACTCTCCAAGATCTTACAGTTAGCCTATGTTAGGTGTTGCAGATAATCAATGACTAGAGTCAGCATATTGCTCCCCCAGTTCATGTTTTATTGATTAGTTAAGATTAGTAGAAGCATTTACATAAACCCACTCACTGTGCCCATGTAACCAATGGCTGGGCAGAGTGGGAAGCTAGACATCAATGTCCTGTTACATACCATCTAAGTCCTGCTACACACCAGCATCTATGTCCTGTTACATACCACAATCTATGTCCTGTTACACACCATCTATGTCCTGCTACACACCACCATCTATGTCCTGCTACACACCACCATCTATGTCCTGCTACACACCACATTGTTAGGTGCCATTATCTGCATTACTATGGTGTTTAAAACTGTTTCCTTTCATTGGCTGCCTTGGTAGGTTTAGTGAGCATTTAGGGTTTAAATTATAGTATATAAAATCCAACTTATATTTGTTGTGGGTTTTAAAGCAACACTTGCTCATCATCTAAAACTCAAGTTTGTTTACATGTTTGAATATTTATTTTTTTTATTTTTTTTTTTGTCTGATTGACTACTGTAAATAGATCTACGCTATATGTAGAACTGTAAAATCGCATGTAGGTAGAGAACAATTTTTGTTTTCAGGCAGACTGTTAATCACAAATTTATTTAAAGACATTAATAAATTTATTGATTTATTCATAGGTAGATTAACCACATTAATTTCATAGTTTTAGAACAATGGCTTAACTTTGACTGAATAGTGACGTTTGATAACTCATTTTTTGTTTGTTTGTTTTTCTGATTTGTTATTGGGGAGAATCTGCATTATGTGTAGAGCTGTAAAATAGGATTTTGGGTGGTAAATATTGTTCTTTCTTAAACACACTGTTAATTACAAACTAATTTAAAGCCGCTAATTAATTTATTGATATATCATTGGTAGATTAACCACATTAATTATAAAAGTTTAGAACAATGACTATAGTAATAGTAAAAAGATTTTTTTTTTTACAACAGTGTTTTCAATTATTTTTTTAAGGCCTATATGTGAATGATAAGGTTGACTATCAGGACCTCGCGGGGCACAGGGCAGGTGACGTAGAGTTCCCCTGTTTCTATGTTCTCAGCATATGAAGGGATAGTGTGGTCAGAGCCATGCTCGGCCGGAATCTTTTTTTTTTTTAAATACAAACATGTCTGAGACTTGGCGGGGCACTAGGCAGGTGAAGTAGAGTTTTTTTTAAATATAAAAAAACGTCTTTTTGAATGTGGGGTCTGGTTATTTTGGGATGAAAAGTGCTTACAGACGTGATGTCATTTATGGATGACCCCCGAAACGCACAGTTATCTAACTAGATAACGGGTAGTCTAGTAATTGTTAAAGCCAAACTTACTTGTTGTGAATTTTAATGTTAAGTGTATTTCTTTTATTCTCTTTTTTCTTTAATTTTTTGTGTGTGTAGAGGAAGTATTTAAATTGTGCAAAAAATAGAAATGGAGATATTGACAAATCTGTACGTTTTACGCCTATCTGGGTCGGAAGTTTTGCAATCTTGCTTCTCTGAATATGATATTTTGAGTTTTAGTTAGGTCGACAAAGTTGCAAACTGGTTATATAAGTATTATATCAAGTTTTAGTTACTTGTCAACTATGTAGCGATTTCCGGTAACCGGAAATTGTACTTGTGAGGGCGTCTGACATTACATCACCACAGTACTTACTGTACTTACCGATAGCTATTCACTTATAACATGTATTAAATGCTGTATTTTTTACTCTATTTCCATAGGAACACAATAACTTTAGCATGGTTTAAGCTAGGTAGACGAAATTTCATATATAGATAAAAGATCTTATAATTAAATACCTTTTAATTGTTGAGTGACCGGAAGTCGCATTTTAATCTATTCCGATTTTTGAAATACTGATTACTTTTTAGTAAGGTGTATGAAATTTCATAACGAAATATTAAATCTAGCTCCCTGTACGTAGGTTCTATCAACTTTTGAGAGATTTCCGGTAAACGGAAGGAGTTTTTCTCAAAACATTAAGAATTTGATATGAGTATATTCTAAGAACTTGTCTCTATGTTATATTTTTTGGGGTTTTTCCTTAAACATCGGTTTTGTCACAAACTTCATTATTTCTAGCCCAATTGGCCTGGAATTTGCCATCCGAATCCTTAATGTTGTTGTGTGAAAATATACGTGACGTTTAGGAGAGCTCACTCTCTCTTGTACTTACTTACCACATTGTACCACCATATTACACCACAACCACATTATACTACCACAACCACCAGATTGTACCACCACACGCACCACATTACACCCACCGAGAATCCCTGTGGTCGCCACCAGTTCTCATCAGTGTCACTTTTATTTGCACGCCTTTATGTGACTACTAACGGTTTCGTGACGTCATCGCTTTCTTTCAATATTGACTGGACGCGCTGCGACTGTAAACGTGCAGAGAATAGGCGGGATAGATCTCTCTCATTGTTGGGATAGATCTTCTCTCTCATTGTTGGGATAGATCTCTCTCATTGTTGGGATAGATCTCTCTAATTGTTGGGATAGATCTTCTCTCTCATTGTTGGGATAGATCTTTCTCATTGTTGGGATAGATCTTCTCTCTCATTGTTGGGATAGATCTCTCTCATTGTTGGGATAGATCTATCTAATTGTTGGGATAGATCTCTCTCATTGTTGGGATAGATCTCTCTCATTGTTGGGATAGATCTCTCTCATTGTTGGGATAGATCTTCTCTCTCATTGTTGGGATATATCTCTCTCATTTTTGGGATAGATCTCTCTCATTGTTGGGATAGATCTCTCTCATTGTTGGGATAGATCTTCTCTCTAATTGTTGGGATAGATCTCTCTCATTGTTGGGATAGATCTCTCTCATTGTTGGGATAGATCTCTCTCATTGTTGGGATAGATCTCTCTCATTGTTGGGATAGATCTCTCTCATTGTTGGGATAGATCTCTCTCATTGTTGGGATAGATCTTCTCTCTAATTGTTGGGATAGATTAGATCTCATTGTTGGGATAGATTAGATCTCATTGTTGGGATAGATCTTCTCTCTCATTGTTGGGATAGATTAGATCTCATTGTTGGGATAGATCTTCTCTCTAATTGTTGGGATAGATCTCATTGTTAGGATAGATCTCATTGTTAGGATAGATCTCTATAATTGTGGAAGTTTCTATCAGAAACCTTACTTGAGAAGTCTCCAATGTGTGGTACTAAATGAGAGGTGTGGAGCCAAAGAAATATCAGCACTAGCCAGACGAATCTTGTAACACAACTGTTGGTGCTTCACATAGCAGCAAGTTGTTTTATTGGCGCACATTTGTACAAGGAAGATGTCTGTGCTCATTTACAAAGCCGCACATATGATGTAACCTTTCAAGTTTGTCATTACTTATGACGTACACGTTATCCAATCGATGATGGGCGTGTAGCCGCTTTCGTAACAGTTCTATCATGTGTGAGGATATCTGAGACGACGTGGTCTATACTTATCTCTTCACCAACGACTATGTTCATGATTCTATTTCTCCTGAACCTCTAGAATATAGACCCAATCAGTCAGCTCACTGGACTAACACCTTATGTAATGCAGCCATTAACGTCAGTGGATCAACAGCTTGAACTTGTTTTGTTCCAGCCAAACTTTGGTACTTTAGTACGTGGCAAGACGGGCTCTGGGAGGTGAGGGTCATAGCGGGTTAGATAGGCGGTACCCTGTACTGTAGGGGTTATATCACGTCGTGTTTGGATGTTACTGTAGGGGTTATATCACGCCGTGTTTGGATGGTGCCCTGTAGTGTAGGGGTTATATCACGCCGTGTTTGGATGGTGCCCTGTAGGGGTTATATCACGCCGTGTTTGGATGTTACTGTAGGGGTTATATCACGCCGTGTTTGGATGGTGCCCTGTAGTGTAGGGGTTATATCACGCCGTGTTTGGATGGTGCCCTGTACTGTAGGGGTTAATCACGCCGTGTTTGGATGGTGCCCTGTACTGTAGGGGTTATATCACGCCGTGTTTGGATGGTGCCCTGTAGGGGTTATATCACGCCGTGTTTGGATGGTGCCCTGTAGTGTAGGGGTTATATCACGCCGTGTTTGGATGGTGCCCTGTAGGGGTTATATCACGCCGTGTTTGGATGTTACTGTAGGGGTTATATCACGCCGTGTTTGGATGGTGCCCTGTAGTGTAGGGGTTATATCACGCCGTGTTTGGATGGTGCCCTGTACTGTAGGGGTTAATCACGCCGTGTTTGGATGGTGCCCTGTACTGTAGGGGTTATATCACGCCGTGTTTGGATGGTGCCCTGTAGGGGTTATATCACGCCGTGTTTGGATGGTGCCCTGTAGTGTAGGGGTTATATCACGCCGTGTTTGGATGGTGCCCTGTAGGGGTTATATCACGCCGTGTTTGGATGGTGCCCTGTAGTGTAGGGGTTATATCACGCCGTGTTTGGATGGTGCCCTGTAGGGGTTATATCACGCCGTGTATGGATGGTGCCCTGTACTGTAGGGGTTATATCACGCCGTGTTTGGATGGTGCCCTGTAGGGGTTATATCACGCCGTGTTTGGATGGTGCCCTGTAGTGTAGGGGTTATATCACGCCGTGTTTGGATGGTGCCCTGTAGGGGTTATATCACGCCGTGTTTGGATGGTGCCCTGTACTGTAGGGGTTATATCACGCCGTGTTTGGATGTTACTGTAGGGGTTATATCACGCCGTGTTTGGATGGTGCCCTGTAG